TGTATCTGACGGTGTCAGGTGAAACTAAATTTAAATATATTTCAGCCCAGAAACAAAAGCAAAATGGTACAAAAAAAGGTTTTGAGATTAAATGATTGTCAACGCTGCAGTTGGTTGCTTAGTAACAGAAAAGACGATGAAGGAGGAACAGTGATGGTGAAAAGTAAGATCCACTTACATGTCACATGTCAGAGAATGTGCAAACAATTGGGTCCAGACTCTGCCCGGAGTTAGTTTTTCAAATTTAAACAACGCAGCAGGAGATTCTCTGCAGACGCGTTAAAAACAACAACACAGCCGGCTCACTCACTCACAAAGGCAGCGTGGAGTCTGTAGACACTCTAATCTAATAACATTGGCTCTGAAATTAAAATTAAAACGTTCCTCGTCCCACATGCATCAACCAGCGGTGAATGGACTCCAACACTTCATCCACCCATCGGCATACTGGTGAGTGGATAATGAGTGAATTTTCATTTTTGGGTGAACTATCGCTTTAAGCAGGTATTAAACCTGACAGAGTTTGGTGAATGCCACGGGCTCCTGCTTTCTCCTCAAAAGAGCTACCAGCTTGATACAACTCCACCTGTATAATAACAATGGTTAGAAATCCCCTACAGAGGCTCTTTGCCACCAGCTTCCTGCCATAACTGTCAATTAAGGTTTGACTAGAATGTCTTAATGTATGTGTGGGATGTGTCTGGGATGGTGGTGGTGGGTTGTACTTATCTACTTTACTATTATTTATATGTTTTCACTTGTTTATAATTTTCATCCTAAAAGAATAGTTTGAAGATATGAATGATGTGGTTTAGTATCATGTGAGAGTTGATGGTGGACTTCAGTTGGTCCTAGAGGTCGCTTTGCGTGGGGCTCCTCAAGTCCCTTGAAACACTGGTCAAGCATTCACACATTATCATTATTTTTACTGTCAAAGCAGCATACTTTACAGAAAATACACTGTGTTCCAGTTTGCTGCTTGTTTTAGTTTAAATATTTCAAAAGTGGTGGAAAATGTTTTTGTCAAATTGATCCAAAAATGAGATGATCAGGAATGATACGCTGCTGCACTGCATTTATTATGACATCATTCTTTCTCTTCAGACTTTCTTTCAGCAACATCAACTCTGACTGACTTATAGTTTTCCTGAAGTTGTGGCAGGACTTGATAAGCTGATTGTAATTAAAAAGAAATGTTTGAAGTCTTGTGTTCAGAGGCGTCGGAGCATTTGTCTTTTACACACCATCCGTTTACCTCATTATTTAAAACCTTAGTCATGTTTAATACAAACATCTGACATTGAAACAAGCATAACAAGTAACCTAAACGCAGACTCATTAAATTGCTTGTGTCACTGAAAATCCTCATGAGGAAATATTAGGCGTGACCTGTGGCATTGTCTTGTAAATAAGTCCCTCAAACCTGGAGCACCATGGAGTTCTGAATGAAAACTGGGTTTCAAATCATCTGTGGACATTCATGATCCCCAGAAGAAAATTCCTAACGTGTTACCCCACGTGACTCATTTCCATCAAACCAAGAACATTCATTCTCTCGAGAGGAGGAACTCCATAAGCTTGACTGTAGTGCTACCCTGAGGACTTAAATTATTGTTTCAAATGTATACCATGCACTAATAAAGTTATTCATCAGTATGACTTTGATTCTTTCAAATCCAAATGTAGTGTAGGCCATAAGGAGCCTCTGAGATTTCCAGTGCAACCTTCTGAACAAATTATTCATTGATTTATTCAAAATAACACAAACAATGACAGTACCCTATAGAAATATGCTCCCAGCACCGGAAAAACAAAAGTCTTTGATGAGTTCAAATGACACACAGTATTCTAACACCTCTTTTGTGTAGTGTGTCAGAGTTTGTGTCTGCCTGCTAAAACAACCTTAATGATTGTGTGTCTCAACTCTCAGGATTTAATATAGTGTGTCCTTAGCCAGCATGGATAAACCATAAAAGCACTAATCCATCCTCCTTGAGTCTGTTCATTTCTTTGCATTACCTGCTGCTGTTTGTGACAAACACCTCCAAAAAACCATATCATATTATTCATATATGCCACTACACCAAGAAAGGCCAAAGGCAATTTCAGTGCATCTCTTTTTAATGGGGATTGGTCCATTATTCCACAGCTCCATAATGATCAGATTGGACCTCTGCTGTGGTATAATTTCATAAGCTTTGCAATCTTCAACAGAGTCGTATCTCTTCGTTCATCCATTTTGGTGGGGAGTACACTGAGTCTCTCCATCTTCCATGTCCAAAATACCACATCAACTCTTTCACATGCAAATTACAGAACGCAAAACCTCAGAGTCGCTCCTGCATGTCTGATTATCCTGAACAAGCAAAGGATGCAGCAGAATTCATGTGGTGAGAGGAAGCGTTCAGTTTATCCTGTATATGAAACAAAGACTGAAATGTTGCACCTAGTCGCTTCCTTAATAAAACTGCAATTTTGCACCTTGTCTCTTTGTAGACTCTTTTATTTAGCACCTGACCAGACCTCATTTTAAGACCACACAACTGTTAACACTGTTAAAACAACATGGGCACTGGATGTGGAAACTCTGAAACTAGCAGGACAAATCACTTTTGAAACACTATCACTTTTTTATTTTCAAGAAGGAAACATGTCGTGAGAAATTGACAAAGATGTTGAATAAATGCCCTAAAAATCTCACAATGTCACTGGCAAACAAAAGTCCTCCTTCTGCCCTTTAACCGGATCTGCACCAACCTTAAGGAGTTGTTCTGTGACCCATCCCTCCAAAGATTTGTTCAAAATCAGTTCAGTACTTTTACATTAATCCCACTGACAAATAAAAGAACAGACCCAGGTGAAAACATACATGTTCACAAATTAAATTTTCTTCAGAAATGAATACACATCAATTTTTTATCTTAATATGTTTTCTCCTCAAAACCTAACTCTTAAAAACACCACCACTAAAATTCAAATTGCACTTTTGTTTTAGTTTGAAAAATGCTTGACAGCATAATCTGTCTCTTGAAATGCTTTTCGGTTCTTAGAAAACAAAATCTCCAAACCTCCAAACAAAGCCTGTTAGTATACACTGCGTTTTTTGTGCAGACCTAGTCCCTGATCTTTTTAGACTTTATTGTCCCCTTGGGGAAATTTTACTGATCTTTAGTAAATAAATGATATGATACATTTTTATAGATTCTGTCTTGGTTCTGAGCCCCACAGACAGGGAAAGGAAGTCAGAACATTTTTTGTGTGGTTTGTCAACCATAAGAACAAATAACACTGACCCTATCTCTTAAATAGGAGTTATTGGCAACACTAAAGATTTAAACAAAACTCACAATTAAATTGTCAAAAAAGTCACAAAACAAGCTGAACTGGATGAACTGACTCTCACTACTGATCGTTTTGCTGCAGACACACAACAGCTAAAGTCATCTACCTTATCACACCTTTCACTTCTCAGAATTGATCTGCAAACCCATCAAACATTATTTTTTTTGGTCTGTCTGTTTGTCCATGTCATTGTGTGACATTATTAAGTAAAAGCCAATTCTCCAGTGAACGCTCATGATGGAGCAAGATATAGCTGATGGCAGATTTGTGACCCAGCAGCAGAGCCTCTATATCTGCCCTATATCTGTGTGCTAACTTTCATTCTTTCTGCCAAGTCTGAATCACTGCAGGGTGCAGAGAGCCATTTACAGATATCAGGGTGTCTAAATGGATTTTCTCTAACCGACCACTGTCTGTATAAACCCACAGCGTTTCCCTTTCATCAGAGAAAGTGCCAGTGTGGCAGCACAGTAGAGGTTAAAAAGTTTGTTTAGCCCACCGGTATTTCTGAGCTCATGTTATTAATCAAGCACATCAAATTAAAACATGACCAGAAAGGTTATTAATGCTAATTGAGTGAGGGACCACAATGTTAATAACATTTAACACACACAGACACACCATGTAAACAAAATCTTACCAATGGCGTCTCCTTGTTCATGCACCATACTGGCCAGATCTTTCATGATTTGAGTGACGTCCAGCATGTCCCTCTATGGAGAAAACAGACATTATATATGTTACGCCATTGTTCAACTCAGTGTCACAACAAATAAAGGGAGTACAAAAACTGAACAGACATTAATTATGCAGGTGGTCTTGCCAATGAATGCATAAATCTGTCTTTATATTGTTCCAGCAACTGTTAATCCAAACCATCAGGATGAAAGGAGTGCTTTTGATGTTTGCCAGAATGTTTATGAGAATTCAACCTTAACCCACAATTATTTGTACAGCTACAAACACTGTTTAACATATGTGCAAATTATATCTTTGTGCATGCATTTTTTTATCAACAAAATTAGATCCCAAAACTGCAAGCTGGAAGGTTATCCGTGAATATCATTTTGCAAGCGAAAAATATTTGTGTCCCTTATTTGATTCCATAGTAATTGTATATGAACTCATATCGCAACATTCTGTGATGTCGTTGTAACATAACTCCAATTTCACAGCCACAGTTGTGAAATCATCAGTGACATCACAGCAAGTACAAAATAAACACAAGTAAGGTTCAGGCAGGAATCTCACTTTCTGACATCAGAAATACACCAGCCAAGTTTGAAGATCATCAGTAGAGCAGTTGTTGAGAAAATGGAAGGGCGGATGTCTGATTCTTCACAAAGAAGTTATCAATCTATACTATTTCAAAAACGTTTAAAGTGACACAAAAACATACAAAGTCAATGAAAGGATGCAATTTGTTGTAAATGGACACAGACGTTTTCCTATAGATCAGTCAAAAGGTCTCTGGTGGTCAGTAAGGAGCACACGACTTTTTAATGATCGACTAGACTAAACAATGAACCACTGCTCAGTAACCACATGAGGTTTAGAGCTGAATGACCCTGCAGATCCATCAAGACCTCCAACCATCATTTTACCTAAACAACTATGAATGATGAGAAGCAGCTTCCTTTTTCATACTAATGCAGTACCCGTCAAGCTGGAGCAATGCCTTTGATGATGTCATCATGCATCCAGGGTAAGTTTTCATTTAAACATACAATGGACCAATTAGAGAACCTTTTCCCATTCCATTTAAAGGTCAGACACACTTGCACCTTGGCAACACATGCACTTGCCTATGTAATGTAGCTGCACATTATTATCTTGATAATGTGCCATAAAGTAACTGCAAAGATGACTTCATACCAGGTTTTTGTTGGTCCAGAGCATAATTGCTTTCTGCTGCACATGCTAGCCATGTTCCATTAATGTGGCTGATATGTGCAATTTTAAGACCAACACATCCATGGGCGCTAAAAGCACTGGATGTGAAAATGGCAATTAGTGCTATTCTGTGCTGCTTGTGCCAACTGAAAGGTAGAGCCCAAACATTTTGGAAAAAAAAGGGCAGTTATTTCTGTCAGGGTTCAGAGAAACCTAGCCCAGCTATGGCAGACCATAGCTAATCCTCCATTGTCTCCCAGCTTTGAATCTGCTCTCAATATTTCAACTCTAAGCAACATGAAAGCTTATAGAACTTCTGTCTATCTCCTGCTCACAGGTCCCCCTTCCCTCCATTATGGCTCTGTGCAATCGCAGCTGCGTTTGTGTAGCCTAGCCCACTGGGCCATCCATCACAGGTGGCGGAGATTGCTGTGGAAACTGGCAGTCATCCTGCCACTTGGCAAAAATCATTTGAATGGAGCCAAAATGGCCCCTGGCAAACCTTGTGATGCTAAAGACTGTTTTGCATTTATCTTTGGGCAACCCTGTCTGTCATGCTGTAATAGAATAACAAATTTATTTTACCTGGCAAAGCATTGGGCAATCAGGACTCATTTCATCATAATGACAGAACAGTGTGTAACCAATTTTTGAAATAATGTGAGGAAGTGAATGTGAATAGGCAAAGAGACACACACACACACACACACACACACACACACACACACACACACACACAGAGATGTGCTGGTTTGGGACCCCTGCCTGAGGGCTGAGTGGGTGGCCAGGCTTTGGGCCAACATTGTGCCCTTTACCATTTTTGATGGGCTTTAAATTCCGCTCATGGCCAATCTAACAGCCTCTGGATACTGGCACTGGGCTGGGAACCAGGACTGGAGACATTTCTCCAGGTTTTTCAGCAGGTTTACTACAGGAGGCTCGCTTATCATTCAGGGTAAGTGTATCAGAGACCTGATCTAGGGCAGGAAAAAAAGGTACAGTTTAAAAAATGTCTGACACAGTGTTGCCAGATGTACAATAATTATTGTATTTGTATGATAATTTTGACCTCTGTACGATCAATAATGTCCAATTTCAATGATAATTCTATCATTTTGTGACACCACATACAGATGACGTGACTCCTGAACACGACAGCGCTCAGCTCAGTTTGTTCCCAGCATATACCCATAGCTCATACCTATGGTGTGATGCACTGAAGCATTACTGAGCCATGGTCATGTGACTTGACTGTTTTGAACAACATTTGGGAGCAGTGTTTCAAAACAACTGCGCTTAGGAATCTCGACACAGGTTCGAAATTGAACGTCCCATCACTACTCTGGTCTCATACTATAACTTTCGTCAAAATGCGATAATTTAAAGCTTCTAGTTCAATACTTTAACATTTCCTATCTGGCAATACTGGTCTGACACCTTCAGCCTCACCTTTATTTGGTTTTGGACTCGTGAAAGTTCAGTTCAGTCTGCTCTTCGTTGATACACGTGGCACGTCACACATCCACACTAGATAATAATCTTTGGATTTGTATTAGCCTACGTAGTGTGTTCATGTGATAAAATGTCATATACTAAAAACAGAAAGGATTTCTGGGAGTTCTGTTGATGGATATTATTCCTACACAATAAAATGCATACACTGTCAAGATGTGTATATACTAACTGCAAAGATTGTGGAATAAAGATATACATTATAGAATAGAAAACCATACAGAATTAACACGTAGAAGGGGCTTGTAAGACAGACAAATCACAAATTAAGAGGTGTAAACAAAGTGAAGTGACAGGTAACATACTAATTGGAGAGTTTCTGCATCATCAGTCCAACATGTACCTTGGTGGAGATATTAAATTACTAAGGCTCCAGTTACTCTTGTTTCTACTGGCCCGATCCCACATCTGATTGCAATACGTCATTGTTTTCCCGAGCTGCATGTAAATCAGGGTCGACACCTGAAGCCATTTATTAAATGTCAAAAACGCCAGAAAATACCGTAAAATTCTACACATATACACTCATTAAGCCAGTCTGGAGTGTCTTTACTACTGGAAACATGCGGCTACACTGAATAAAGAGTTTGGTGTCCAACAAGCAGCTTCCAAAAGACACATTCTGACAAGGACAATGTTGCACAGGCACATTTTGTGGTGAAATGCGCTAAGGGCTGAAAAGCTGAAACCTCATTCAGAAGAAGAATTTATGAAGGAGCTTGTTGCCAACTGTGGAGCTGCTAACACTGGAGAAAGAAAAACGTGTCACTTTGTGTTGAAAAACTGTTGCAGAGTTGATCATTGATATTAAAGCAGGAACGTTACTGGCAGGTTTTGGCTAAAAAACCCAAACATCTGGAAGACATCAGAAAAGAGAAGCAGTTCCAGCAGGTTTACAATCAGGAGAAGCAAAAAAGGCATACATTTACCTGTTCAAGCTAAAATTAGACATTAATGAGACAATACCTATGTGGCAGCAATATATCTCCTCACATCTGATCTCAGCACAGCGCTCTGTCCCATAAAGGATCTGATGTTGCCTGTTTGCATGTATTTTGTTTTTTACTGCCCATTCGTGGAGGCAGCAGGCTGTTGTCTCGCTTGACAAAAAGCGATGCTACCTTTCATTTATGTCACTTTTGTGAGTGATGTTGAAAAATTCAGAGGCTTTTCAAGCAGAAGCGGGAGCAGCATTTTTTATATTAAATAATGGTTAAATAGTGATACAATGTTTGACTACTTTATTATTCTGGCCATTATGACGAGGATCCAGTATGTTAACACCATATTGTTTATGTATGTAAGCACTATTTCAGGAGATGCCTGTGTTTGTTAAACAAGGGACAAACAACATATGGTTATTCAGATTGGAGGACATATTGATGACAATGTGTCTGTGGTGTTCTTTCATAAGGCACTGAGGGTGTTTTGCTTTTTTCAAAAAGAAACTATGTGACCTGAAGTGGCTGCTTTGATCAGACGTGTACTCCATTAAGAAATGAACTAAAAGATATTGCTGTTCCGTTATTCCTGTCTCCAGCAACCGGCAACTTACAATGTGAGTTTCTGAACTACATAACAAATGTAGTTTAAACAAGCACCAGTGACAAATAAAGAAAACATATTCATGTCAGCCTCCTAGTTGTCAGTTTGAGTCAGAGATATTGGGAATAATTGTTGTGAGTTAGCTGCAGTCTCACCCACTTGTTGTAATGTACTACAGTTGTATATGTCAGCAAACCTGTAATGCAGTGGCTGTAAGTCACAATCACTTAATGTTACATCTTAAAAAACTCACGCTAACAATATCACAATCCAGCAAATTAAAAACATCTTCATGCAGTTAGTGTTTGTTTTCAATTTTTATGAAATTGTGAGAAATACATAACATGTAAAAAAATAAAAATAAAAACTGAATTACTGCCTTGAGGTTGTGTCCCTCTACCACTCAGGTTGTAGGAAATAAGGTCAGATTCTCTGTTCCTGAGTTATGGTGTTAAATACTGGATAACAATTTTTCAGGTTATTGTGAAACAGTCAATTTGACCTTTGACAAATTTTCATACAAAATTATCAATTTAGCTCATTACACATTTGTATTAAATCGTGTCATAATGCATAACAATATGAATTCCTGAGTTATGGCTGAAAATGTGTGTTTTGGGGTCATAGTGACCTTTTACAACCAAAATCTAACCAGCTCATTTTTGAATCCAATTGAACCTTTATCCATGAGATTCCTGGAGGTGGGACGGACAGCTGGATGGATGACAACCTGGATACAAATAGCTCTGGGATGAGTTAGGAT